TGACCCTCCCCCCTCTCATGTGCTCTCTCTCTCTCATTCTCTCTGTCTCAAATAAATAAATAAAATCTTTAAAAAAAAAAAAAAAGAGGTGAGGGACTGTCTCTTCCCCTTGGATCTGGGCAGGCTTGTGACTATAGGAGAAGTGAGTGATGTGACCACTGAGGGTGGATCATAAAAGGTGATTCTCTTGTGAATTTTATACTCAGGATCCAACTACCATGTCATGAAGAAGCCAAAGCAGGCTGTTCAAAGGCCCATATGGAAAGAGACTAAGGCCCCTGACTGAGCACCCATCTGACAGCCAGCACCAACTTGTCAGCCATATAAGCAAGCCATCTTAAAATTGAATCTTATGGCCCAAAGTTGAGCCACCCCAGGTGAAACCAAATGGGACAAAGATAAGCTAGCCCCACTGAGTCCTGCCTGTGTTCCAGATTTTGTGAGCAAAATAAATGGTGGTTGTTGTTTTGAGCTACTAAATTTTGGGGTAGTTTACATCCTATAACAATAGATTGTTATAAGATGTAAATTAATAGAACCCTTATAAGAGATCAGTTTAACAATATATATCAGAATTCCAGATCCATAGATTCTTTTACTAGATATCTTTGGGAAATTGATTCTTCAGATAGACTTGTTCACAGTTACAAAATAATATACATACAAGATAATTCATTGTAACATTATTTATAATAGCAAGAGTAGAAAACAGCTAAAATGTTTAATAGATTAATTAAATGTGTAACTGTTCAGTGAAAAAAGCAAAAATGCGAAAGAGTATCTATAGTACACTATTTTTTTTGCGTAAGAAAGAAAAGGAAATAAAAGCATATATATACATGTATTTGCTCATTTGAGCAAAAAGGAACACCAAAAGGTTGAAATTTAGTCTGAGATTGGTTGCCAATAGGGCTTGAATGAGAATGGGTGAAAAAAAGACAGATGAAAGGGTTGGGAGTTGTTGGTTGTTGAGGAAAAGGAGGGAAAATGGGAGGAGGGCCTAAAATTGAATGCTAGCAAAAACAAATGAACCAAACTGTATTTCAAATTACTGACATGGCCACACTGAAGGAAACAGGAAAAGGAGTTAACCTTTAAAGCTAAATAGTTGGGACTCTTACCCCAGAGGCTAAAAGCAAAGCAACTGTGAACACTGAACTGGTAGGCTTCTTTTGTGCAGAGGCATGAGTTAGCATGAAAAGAGAAGAGGATAGAATGAACTCTGCCACGTTGGATTAGAATTAGAGGTATCAGTGTGAACTCATGGGTGTTAATACATATAGCTATGCGTAGAAATGATTGTGATGTTGTGTGTGTGTGTTCATGTATACATACATCATTACATACATATCTCTATTTCCCAGATACAACCAGAGGGGCCTAGAAGCGATAATATCCCAGTAGCATTGAACATACCTAGTGCCCATATCTTAGTTTTTAAATGCCATTCTCCATTAAAAGGAACTAGACATAACACTCAGTATTTGACCAACAGAACAGAGCATGAGACACTGCAACCCTGCAGATCCTCTAGTTAGAAGCAGAGCCACTCAGTATTTGACCATTAGAAGGAACCAGGGATCGTTGGAGAAATGGCTAATTCCAGCTGTGAGGCAAAAAAGCACAAAATGTACCTTGAAAGGATGTTTTTCTGTACCCAAAAGTAAAATGCTCAAAAAATGATAAGGATATGTCAAAAAGACATGGAAGCCAGTTTGAATGGCTCCTACCGGCTAAATCTAGGACAATCTGAGCAGTAAAATAAGTAGTGATAACAAATGATTATAACTCATTGAATATAAGTGAATAAATCCACCCAATATAAATTAATTAATGAATAAGAAGGGAAACCTCTTCATCACAGTAGAAAGCCAACTTATACAAAGAATGATAGATTTAGAAAAGCACCATTTAGCAACTATCATAATTATAATTGATTCAGGCAAGAAGTATCAGTGCTAAAACTACTGGATAAAAGTTTGAGGAAGAACAAAATATTTACACAGTCTCAAAGTATCTCCCCCACAAGATACTTATTAATTACAGGATGAAATAGTAATTTTGCAGTGGATATTACTGGTAGATAACCACTTTAATGACATTACCAAAGTTAACATTGCCAGGAATGGAACTAGTCAATAATGTGCTTCCTGATGATTCACTGACAAGAATCGAGTATCCGTACTATCCCTGCCAAAAGTGTATGGTGTGAATCTACTCATGAGGAGACATTAGAGAAGCCCAAACTGAGGTTTATTCTCAAAATAACTAGCCTGTCCTTTTCCAAATATCTGTTATAAAATGTAAAGAAAGGCTTAGTAACTTGCAGATTAAAGGAGACAAAAGATAGAAGACAAATGCAGTGCACCATCTTGAATTTTCTTTTGTTATAAAGGACATTTAGTGGAATCTGAGTAAGTATATGGTTTAGACAACAGTACTGTATCAATGTTAATTTCCTGATTTTGATCACTGTGCTATTGTTATGTAAGAGAATTCCTTGTTTTTAAAATATAGGCATACCTTGGAGATATGATGGGTTCGGTTTCAGACTACTGCAATAAAGCAACTATCAAATGAAAAAAAAAAAGAGAATTCCTTGTTTTTAGAGAATAAACACTGAATTTTTTAGAGGCAATGGGACATCATATCTGCAACTTACTTTTAAACAGTCTAGAAAAATTATAGAAAGAAAAAGGGAGAGAAGAGGGAGGAATTTTTTTTTATTCTTGCAACTTTTCTTTAAGTCTGAAATTATTGTCAAAATTTTTTGAGTTTAAAAACAATAATGAAGCCATATCCTAATATGTCTGAAATGGTAAGATTTCCAGCATTAAATTGTTAAGTTAAAAAACAATGTATACAGGGCGCCTGGGTGGCTCAGTTGGTT